GTCAACTTCATTTTTTGAGAACTTCCTTGATTTTTCTTCTCTATCAGCAGAATATTTCGTAGTTTCAAGCAATATATTTAAATTGTTTCTCTTTGAAAAAATAAAATAGGAGCAGATATTTTGAAACACCGCAATTGGGGTACATAGTTTCGCAGTTTGGCCGTCGTTATTCCCCGCAGTACTTATTTCCTATTCTTTAAAACCAAGCTTAAACCATACGCTTTTTTTAAGATTTAAAGAAAGTTTCGTAGAACTGAGAATGCCCAAGTTTCCTTTCTAAGATTACTTAAAAACATCCTAAAAAAACATATCTCGGATCCAGAGTCCAGACTTTCAAAAGATTTGACAGGGAAAACTACTCTTGATTCAATCGGATTTTTGCTTCGAGAGCGAAGCCTCGTAATTTAAGCGGATTCCCTTCAGTTTCCAGCAAAAATCCGATTGAATCATGAATATTTTCTCTTGTCAAATTTGTCAAGAGGCTGGGCTCTTCATAGGCGGATCCAGAAAATTTTTACCGGAAACGGAACGTAAGGGAGTTCGGAGGGCTTCCCCCAGAGAAATTCCAAAATTTGAAGCCTGGAGTGTGACTCGATCAAGTCATGGAAAATTATCAAGTACAAACGTCCTCCCTTTTCCTATCCTCCATTCCTTCCGTCTTCCGTCTCTCGTTTTTTCTTCCTCCTTTTTTCGGGCGATCGTGNGGGGGGGGGGGGGGGGGCATACGCCTCCTACGCCCCTTTCCCTGGATCTAGAGTAACTGTATACGGGCGAATATTGCCATCTCAATCCTTTTACTACAGAAAAGCGTGTGCCGCTCTCTGCTTGGACGGCTATCATATGGAGCCCCAAAGTTGGCCCAATGTAAACAATCCCCAGCCCCTCCGCTCTTAGTTTGGCCCAATGTCAACAACAAGATGGCAACAAAGTTCTACAAAGTTCTACACGTGATTTTCGATGTGATAGAAATTTTTTTATATCCAACTTCTGAATGACTTCGCATCGAACTTTGATGATATTTTTGCCAAAAATCAACCTTTGAATGTGATTATCATCCATTTCTTAGCCGATAATACGTGTCCCTCTAGGTCGGGTTTGTTTATATTGAGCCAACTTTGGAACTGCATGATAGCCTGAAACTGATGAACCAATCAGAGAGCGGCACAGAGATGGCAATTCTCTCCCGGACTCTGTTACGGGACTCCAGATCCAAGACACTTTTTTTCCTGAGCTTACTTTATATTGAGCCAACTTTGGAACTGCATGATAGCCTAAAACTGATGAACCTATCAGAGAGCGGCACAGAGATGGCAATACCCTCCCGGATTCTGTTATGGGACTCTAGATCCAAGACACTTTTTTTCCAGAGCTTACTTCATAAAATATATTTTTTGAATATTATAGTGCATCGTTTTCGTTTCAACGAAATCGCGTGTTCCGGCGTGCTGTCAGGGGATATTCGCTCCGCAACCTGCTCGTTCACCATCTAACGTGATCCCTCCGTTTCAAAAGCTCATGCTTTGGGTAAGCGCCTCGAGGCACCTCCTCCGCTCACCTCGTACACATGTCCTTTTTTTTGCGTTCACGTGCGATCGCATGTCGCCGCGATATTTGTTACAAGATTCAGCGCAAAAACAAGAGCCTTCTGACCGTGTTTTCCCCTAGTGCCCCCCCCCCCCCCCCCCCCNGAGTTATGAAACTGCTAAAAGCCCCTCCGTTGAGCCCGTCCATTGCGAAACCGAATTGAATAAACAAGTAATAATGATATCAAAAGTTAGTCATCTGGCTCAAGTCTACTGCTAATTGAATTAGCTTCATTTTAATGAGTCCATTTTTTCCTTCTAAATCATCATCTTGTCACTTGTTTTGACACATTGACACTTCTGTGATTGTGAGTGAGGTTTAGACAGTATCAGTGGATCGATCGAAGTCGAGGTTTAGTGGAAACAGAGATTGCGTCGTGAAATTTGACTGAGCTTTGCTTAAAGAAACGAAGTGTCAATCTTGTTAAAACAGAGAAGAAAGGATTTGGAGGTTTTCCACTTTCTCTAGGATCAGTATACAACTACAATCGAGTTCATGTATGAGTCAAGTTGTAATGATTTTTTTGCAAGCTGTGTTTTTTTGGCAGGAGAAAGTATCCTCCAAGTTGAGTTTTTTAAGTCCGCCATAACCCCGTCTTTTCAGCTTGCTTCCTTCCTGCTTAATTCAATTTAAGGTGCCATCTGTTGGAACTAATGATTTTCGTGATGTCTGGTTTCCTTTAAACTCAAAATTCTAGAAAAGATTATGCTTAATACTTTGTTTTTAGAAACTCTTGAAAATAGAAACTCCCGGAATAAATAATTTTTAAAATCTATCAAAGTACGTGTGTATTTTTTTAAACAGAAAAATTCTACATAACGCTTGTTCCCTTTTTTTTAAAAAAAAAAAAAACTAAAAACTATATGGAGCCGGTCAATAAATACTATTTTCAAGGAGTTTCGGTGGATTGAAAATTACGTAGGTAATTTTTGCGTTCGAAAAAAATCTTAATCGCTTTTTTGATCAATAAATGAAAAAACTCATCCGCTTTTTTGTAAAAACCACGTGTTTCATTGCTTAAAATGAAAGATATATCAATGGAATACATCAATAGAAAACATCAAATTGTTTTTGTCTAGAGAATTTTCATCTTTTTTAAGGATTCAATTCTTATAAAGTCTTTGGCAAGCAAATTAGTACACACGTGGGCGGTCAAGTAAGTAGTATATAACTGTAAAAAAACTTTTTAAAACATAAATTTTTCTCCATACCGCACTAATTTGTCTCCTTTTCTCCTTATTATAAAATGGGCCTTTGACCTCATCAATGACAATTAAATTATGCTAATGCAGGTAAACATCCAGATAGATGTAGGCTATCCATGTTTTTTTGCTTTGTCCGTTATGTAACTATATTCCTCATAGCCGCAGAATATTTTTCCCGCTTTTTTATGCAGGGAATGCGTTGGCGGCGTGAAGTGGTATTATATGTAAGAAAAAACAAATCTGTCAAGAATGAATGTTTTAGAATAGAATTATGCTTGTTTAACGGTCAATTTGGAGGTCCAGTGACCCAGATTCCCGTTTTGTGAGTTATTATTTGATTTGATTAACTTTTTATCCTGACTTTTTTATGGACGATAGTAATAATACTCTTATAAGGAGTTAGTTTTAGGTGTTTTTTTTTTTTTTTTTTTTTTTTNTTTTTTTTTTTTTTTTTTTTTTTTTAAAGATTCTGACCCTCTCTAGGTGTCAATAATAGTCGACCTAGCTCTTTTGTTTACGAGTGTGTTTATCTGTTGCTCAACTCGTCCTCCAATCGATGGGCGCCAATTATCGTGCATGATTTAGGACAGAATGCATTTTTCGTTGTTTATTGTTTGAGATCAATTTTTATTGAATTTCTTACGAAGCGACATTAATGTTGCTGTGATTGGTACCCTTCCCCTCACGTTTAGTGTAACAGGCGGTTGAATAAGCACATCTAATATTTTTTGGATGTTCTGAACGAATGCCTCTTGATTCTACATTCTTATTAGTGTCTTATAGTTATCCTTCTTCCATCTTCTCGGAAGTTTAAAGTATTATGAGTTAAATTTGGACGTATTTCTGTCAAACGGAACTGTGCGTATTATGACGTGAGCCCTGTTATGCATATATTCTTAGGGGTCTCAGGGCTCATGTCTCATTGCACATAGTTTCGTTTGACAGAAATACGTCCATTTAGAGGGCGTCTGCGTAAGAAAATGGGCAGGTGTATAAACATCAAAATAAAAAATGGAAAGTCCTCCCCATATTAATGGACCCTTGTTTTGACGCTGGAAGGTATTGGTAAATTACTTCTAATTCTTTTTTTTTTGGGGGGGGGTAGCATATTTTTTAAAACTCCAGTATTTAGCTGTCTCAAAATATTTTTTTGTTTTTCATTAGCAATGAAGAATTTCTCACCGCATTATAGAGATTGACCCACCTATTACCTAAGTTCCCTGACTGCCATTAGTTGTAAGGTGAGTTTGTTCGCAAAAACAATCAAAATCATTTTAAAGATAAGAATTTTTGTACGTGCAATTAATTTCCTCCCAACTTAGGGAGAAATTTTATTTTCATTAAGATCAACAGAGATCATTCGCTCCAAAATATACCGGGGAATTTTTTACTCTGTCTTGCTTTATGAAATGATGTATCTTTAGCAGCTCTTTTCCGCAACTATTTGGTTTTGGTTTCTTCATCGATTTCTCTTTTCTTATGAACATTCTCTGTGAGTGAAAAAATTGAGTTAAAATTGACCGTGTAATAAATGCTGAAAATATCAGAAATGTTAGATTTCGTTTATGACATATGCTTTTTGTCGGTCAACAATTAATGCCTTGTATTATCATTGATGTACACAAATCATAAAGTGAAAGTCTGCAACATCTAAGTCATCGAGTATAACACCACTTAGCACTGACTGTTACTGTTTCATAATTTTTAGCAGAATTACAGTTAGGCACTTTTTGGAGAGGAATTGAAATGGAAGATGTTTCATGTTTAGTAATTTTTAAAACAATTAAACTGTTTCGCACAATTTTGTGTATCACGATCTGTGTCGTTACCGAAAAATCTTGAAAGTAAATGTATTTTTTCTACCTTACTTTTTTATTTTTCTTCTTTTCTGTGCAAGTAGTCTTATTCCAATTAATCTAAGACCAACAAAGAACATTCACTCCAAAAACTACTCGGTATATTTAACTTTATCACCTTTGATATCAGATTCTTGAGAGAGGTAAGCGTATACGGGCAATGCTGCATTTTGAAATTAATGTGCTTGGTGGGTGATATTTTAATGGTAGAACGTTTGAAATACCACCTTCTTGGACATCATGACAGTTGGCTGTTGAGTTATCTCTTTCTTTTTTTATTGGAATCAATTAAGTTTCTCTGCGGTGTCAATTTTCTAGGGAGGAGATAAATGGCAAGCATAAAGAGAACACAGGCTTCGAGTTTTCAATTTTTTCTCTTTTTTAATTTGTTTCTTTCTAAATTTTCATTGGTCGGTTCAATATTTACAAATCTTAAGACTAGACAATAGTTGGTAAGCGCATGGTGAGAGAGGATTCTAAAATGGTAACTTAGTAAGAAGACTTTCCTGCGGGATGGCTGTTGTGGCCTTCCTTCTTAACGTGGGCGACGAAGCCGCTCTTGCCCTGGACGGAGTACTCGACGGTCCTCTTGCTGCCGTCGGGCTCGACTAGACTGTAGTATCCCTGAACGTGGTCGCCGTCCCTGGATTCCTCCTGGCTCTTGATGTCGTACGTGTGGGGGTCGTTCACGTGGTAGACGAACTTGTAGGATGGGTGGGAGTCGGGGTAGACCTCCTGGTAGGACGACTCCTTGTAGCTGGAGCCTCCGTAGGAACCTCCGTAGGAAGCACCGGAAGAGTAGCTAGAGGAAGAGGAGCCTGAAGAGTAGCCGCTGGATGGAGCGGAGTAGGAGGCGCCAGAAGAGTAGCCGCTGGCGGGGGCGGAGTAGGAGGCGCCGGATGAGTAGCCGCTGGACGGGGCAGAGTAGGAGGCGCCGGATGAGTATGAGCTAGAAGAGTGGCTAGGGGCAGAGTAGGATGGAGCGTAGGTGGCGACAGGGTAGGCGGGTGCCGAGTAGGAGGCAGATCCGTAGGAAGATCCGTGGGAGGAGTATGAAGGAGAGGAGGAGACAGATGAGTAGGAAGATCCGTGTCCGGAGGACGATCCGCTTCCGTAGGAGGATCCGCTTCCGTAGGAGGATCCACTTCCGTAGGAGCTACCGTGTCCGTAGGAGGCGGATTCCTTTCCGTAGCTGCTGCTGCTGTAGGCGGCTTCCTTTCCGTAGCTGCTACCGCCGTAGCTGCTGCCGTATGAAGCTGGGGCGCTCACAGACTGGCTGCTGTAGGAGCTTCCGTATGAACCACCGTAGCTGGGGGCGGCGGATTGTTGGCTGTAACCGTAGCTGGAGCCGTAAGACGGGGCGGAGTAAGAGGAGCCGGAGCTGCCGTAAGATTGTTGGGCCTGGCCGTATGAGCCGCCGTAGCTAGACTGGGCGGCACCGTAAGATTGTCCGTAGCCGGAGGAAACTGGCTTGAAACCGTATTGGATCTTGGGTGCGCTGTAGGACTCGTATGATGGCTGGCTCACTTTGTAGCCGGAGGAGTAGCCGGATTGGTAGGAGCTGCCTCCGTAGGATTGCTTGTAGCCACCGGCTTGGTAGGCGGGGGCGTAGGACTTGGTGGCGGAGTGGAGGTTGTAAGCGTTATCCTTTCCACTGTCGTAGGATCCGTAGCTGGAGGAGCCGTAGCTGGAGGCTACCTGGGAGTAGGATGGGGCTGGGGAGTAGGAAGGCTTGTAGCTGGGAGCTGAGTATGATGGAGCTGGGGCGTGGTATACCGGAGCAGGGGCATGGTATACTGGAGCGGGGGCGTGGTATGCTGGAGCTGGGGCATGGTATGCCGGAGCTGGGGCATGGTATACTGGAGCGGGGGCGTGGTATACCGGAGCTGGGGCATGGTATGCTGGGGCAGGGGCATGGTATGCCGGGGCCGGAGCATGGTATGCCGGAGCTGGGGCATGGTATGCCGGAGCTGGGCTAGGGGCTGGTGCGTGGTAGGAGGCAGATTGGCCGTGGCCGGCTGGGAATCCTGGGGCTGGTTTGTATTCGTAGGCCGGGGACGGGTGTTGTTCGGAGTATTTGGTGACGGAGTAGTGAGGGCCACTGTGCGAGTAGGTGCCGGATGCGCTGACTAGGCTCAGCTGCTGCGAGCTGACCAGCAGGCAAATGAAGCTCAACAGTCTCTGGAACAGAAAGGAACGATCTCATTAGAATTGAATACGAAAAAATGCTTAAATATATTAACTTAACAGTAGTTTAAGTATCACATAAGTAACTTATGGGGGCGGGAAAGGGTTTAAGCTGTCTTATGAGGGGGATGGAGATTATGTGGGGAGACATATCCCCTCAGAAGATGGGCTAAACGAAAAACTGTCACCGAAAAAAAAGAGTGCTATTTCCGTACAAGAATCGATCGCTTAAGTTTCCGCCCTTCGCTTATCGCTTTGGGACACCCTGTAGAGCTTCAGCTTATGGTGATTCATTTTTTTATGACCAATTGTTTGAAAAGGCATAATTTGTTCTAGATTTCTGGCCAAAAAACTTCAAAGAAGTAATACTTTTGGAACGGACAGGCTTTGAAGGGCGAGTGCATTTCATTCACATTAAAAAGACTCTACAATAATAAAACACATGTAGATCCGTCGAAAAAAGGAGATATTTGAATCTTATCTGCGATATAATTGAACTTCGACGGTCGTTGAAAGTTAGGCTCGCCGTTTTCGCCGAGAGATGCACCGATGGAT